ATAAAAATGGCCCCCATAGGCTCATCTATCTAACTATTTAGTCCCCAGCTGGTGGGACTGTTTGGAAAAGATTAGGAAATGTGGCCGTATTGGAAAAGATACACCACTGAGGGTAGGTCTTGAGGTTTCAAAAGCCCATACCATTCCCAGTTATGTTGCTCACTCATCCTACCTACTGATCTATGTGTCTATCATATATATTATATATGCTTCATGCTTGTATATCAGATGTAAGCTCTCAGATACTGCTCTAGCACCATGTTTTCCTACTGCCCTGCTCCCTGCCATGATGGTCATACACTCTAACTCTCTGGAACCATGACCCCCCTAGATTAAATGTTTTCTGTTATAAGTAGCCTCGGTCATAGTGTTTCTTCATAAAAATAGAAAAGTAAATGAGACAGTAACCAACAATTCATTATTGGATTTTATGCCTTTCCACTAAATGAAGGTCATACGTAACACCATTCACAGAGCCAAGAACCCATGACTGAGTAGGCCATGTGCCCTAAAGGAGAACCTACTACTATTACCTTGCTAAATTAATATAACACTATATCACCTCCTAAGTACTTATCTTTATACATATAGATCATTGTATCTCTCAGCTCTCACCAGAGAGGCTACTTTTTTGCAGTAGACAGCAGCTAACACAAAGATCCACAACTAGTCAGTTATTATATTATGAATATAATAACACCCTGCAGAGTGCTCATGTTTATGGGCTATCTAAATCAGATCATTCTCTCCTGAGGTTGAGGTACCAAGATCATAAGAAAAATTATAAGTGACGGAGATAGTAAATGATTACAGGGAAGAGATACTTTCTGGACATGATAGAGAAGTCACATACATAAGCTCAAAGTAGCTGTGACTGACTACACAAGACCCGTGTAAGATCAAGTCATACAGAACGCCAGCATGGTTAGGAAGGAGGGCACACAGTTCCACCACCAGCTGAGTTCTAAAGGCAGTTGATGGCTGCTGGGGAAAGGTGTCCCTTTTTTAGGGATGCAGCCCCTGAAGGACTACTCATGCTCCAGCAGACACTTCACACACTTACGCACATAATAGGAGCACTGGGTAGACTCAGTGGGTTCATAAAAGAAACACATGAAATTGGGATGGAATAGTGGGAGGTGGAATTAGAAGGGAGGGAAACGGGGGATGGGTTTGATCAAAATGCACTATATGCATATATTAAATTCTCAAACAACCAAACAATTATTTAAAAATAAATAACAATAACATTTTTAGAAGAGAAGCCTCTCAGGTTTTTTCTCTGTTCATGCCTCAATTTTTCCTCCCTCTGCCTCTAATCCTATCCCTCATCCTCCAGCAATAACAGTGGGGAGCAGGGCAGAGAAAAACTAAAAGTGTTCTCATGAATATATTCTCCTCATGAATATATTGTTTTATGAATATATTCTTTATAAATGGTGTCTTCTTGCATATATCCCTAAATGTAAAGAGTTCATATGAATGCATTTTCCTTATGAATGATAATAATAATATACTTCTAACAATTCTCCCCATTTGAATATATACCTCTGTGGCTATATTTTTATCACAGTTCTCAGGACTCTATCTCTCTCTCTCCCTCTGCCTCTCAGTTTCTCCTATCTCCTGTCCCCCAGGCTATTAAGCCTGACTAGAAAACAAGCTGTCAAAAAGCCCTCAAAATACTATTAAGAAATCAAAATGAAAACCAAAACTAAATAGTACAGATGACATAAATTAGGTCTAGTGAATTAGTCCTTCAGTGAATTGAGCCACAACATGAATCTGCTCTTGGGGAATTGGCATTCAACTGTTTAACATTTAGTGACTGGCCGTCCCAACCTACTGCTTTCCTAACCAGTTCACTTAAAATGGAACTTCTATTCCCCTACTCATGACCCCAACATCCCCCAAAACTCTCTAACCAATGGACTTATTTCTTCCACAGTTTCATCAAAACCAAAAATACTTATCTTTGCTCATTACTGTCCACTCTTCCCACTTAGCTTATTAATATGGCGACGGACCTCATTGAGTTCTGTTCATTAGGCTTATTCAGTCCTATTGGATCCCTGAGAATGAGTGGATACTCAATAAACGCTTGTTGAATAAGAAGTCAAAATAAATGAATGAATGAATGAATGAATGAATGACCTCCTTAGGTTCAAAAAGAAGAAAAACTGTATAGCAATCCCTACCTTAATTCAGACTAACATCATTTCAAACTACATGACCTTTCCACTGAAAAAATAAACAGGTTAGGAAAAAAAAACATAATTGGGTATAAAAGGAGGAGAGTTTCAAGAAATTAGCAACTGTAAACCAATTTTTAATTAGACTGAACCTGTTTGAGCAGCTCAAATCAGAATGCACTGAAGAAAACTTTACCCCAGATGCTATGACATTACCCATTTATACAGCGCTACTTGAGACAGATGGCACTGAGTCAGGATTTTACAGAGACTTTAATGGCTCTTCTGTCAGCCTTTAGGCTATCATTTGCATAGGAAGCAGATATTGCTGGACTGCTGGTGGTGACTGCCTATTACCCACTTAGAAATGACCTCATCTTTGTGTCTCCATTTTCCTTTCTTACCATGTGCAGTCATAACCTTCTGGGAAATTCCGCGTGCAGAACATAAAATAAGACTGACATCAGATCACGCCAAGCACTGTGCTAATTATGATTTGACTGACAAGCCTCCTTGTTCGAAATTCATCTCTAATCAGTCTAACACTTATGAGTGAGTGTGATGTGGCTTCCCTTCCACCCATTTAGTATCTCAAGTCAATAGCAGTTGCATCAGAGCAATTATCAAAGGGGAAGCCATTTTTAAAGACCCATATAATTTTATGGCTCTGCACTGATTGTGAATTAGGTTTGTAGGCTCATCCCATCTCTAGAGACACTTAAAATTATTATGGGAGAGACAAGAGACATTTCATGATAAAAGAATCACCTCTTCCTCGTCTGGAAACAAATCATCCAGTTCTGACAAACATGAGAGTGTTTTATTTACACTCCAACAATTTACCTGGAGCCAAGAGAGCAGGAATGAGTTCCTCCTCTGTCTGCCATCTCCAACCATCGAGACCCAGCCAACAGCACACTTCCTCAGGAAAGGGCAGGGGTCAGAGGGGCTGTAGAGTGATGTGTTCATTACTTATCCTGAGAGTATGAGTTCAACGGGCAGAGCAGGAATCTTGAAGAGTCCTGCTCTCTTCCTCTCCTCTCCAGAGCTTCAGAAATCCCCCAACCCAAAGTTCCAGGAATCAAGTGCCATCAGTTTTGCAGCTTCCAAATACGTAAAGGCCCATGCCAAGTCCTGAAGCATTAACCTCTTCTTCCCTTTGGTTCTAGAAGGCTTAGTTAATTGACTGAGGGAAGGAAGCAGGTAAAATTACAAACATTTAAATTAAAAAATCTCATTGCTGCTCAGATGACGTCAGAGAATGTTGATGTTTAAGTTTGGCTTTTTTTTTAAATGGGGTTCTTCTATGTATATTCCATGTTGGCCTTGAACTCACTATATACCCTAGGCTGGTCTTAAACTCAAATTAATTCTCCTGCCCCAGCTTCCTGAGTGCTGGGATTGCAAACAAGAGGCACTGTATTCAGTGAAATGCTGTTTTGACAGTATAGTTCAAAACCCAAACAGAACTGGAGAGATTGCTCAGTGATTGCCCTTCCAGAAGACCCAGGTTCAATTCCCAGCACCCACATACCAGCTCACATCTGAAACTCCAATTTGAGGAAATCCAATGCCTTCTTCTGTTCTTTGAAAGCACTAGGTACATATATGATTCAGAAATGTATAACGCCTGGCTTTGGCTACATTGCTGCTATAGTTTGGATGTGACATTCCCAAAAGGGCCCATATGTTAAAGGCTTGGTATCCAAATCATGGTGCTACTGGGAGTTGGTTGAACTTCAAGGAGTGGAGCCTAGTTAGAGAAAATCAGGTCACTGGGAGCATGCACTTGAAGGCAAAACACACATAAAATAAAAATAAATAAAATTTAAAAACAATAAAAGTTGGCTAAATGCGTTTTAAAGAATCATAAAATATAATAGAATATATCTATGTGACTGCCTATGATAATGCCTGTTCCAATTGTACAAGTATATGTATAAATGTACCATATATATATATATATATATATATATATATATATATGTCATTAGTTAACACTCATATAATGCTTAATATTCGCCAAGGACTGCAAGGTGCTTTATTCAGTGTTCATGATCATTCCATAAGGTAGAACTACTTTTAAACCAGTTATATAGTTGGAAGGACTGAAACACAAAATGTTTATGCAGTATATCCAAGACTATCCAGCCAGCAAATAGAGGTGATAGAATTAAGATGCAGGTAATCCAGGCTACAATCTACACTTAACTACTGAAGTATCCTGTTTCCTAAATATATTTCTTACACTGAGTTTTATATTTATGATAAGTTTGGTGACTACAAATTTAATGGGATTATGTATAACATATATCCCATGTTAGTTCTAAGTTCAAACAGTGGTCACTCTGCCAGATCATAGGAGATAAAGTTTGACTCAGAAAATGTGGTCGCGATGTCAAATATTCTAGTGTCACTACCAACACCACCCTTGCCTCCAACCATAAACAAGAGAGCTCCTGGAATAGCATCACTTCTTACATGAAATAATCTCAAACCCATTCTGCCAAGATTAATAAAAAAAAAAAATTTGCTTATATTCTGGGAAAGTTATTGCACCATTAGCAATGAAATCTAAAGCTTTTCAGAAACTACTTAGTCTTGGAGGGGGTGGAGTAGCTATAGAATTACATCATAAAATAACCATTGCAAAGTTTATTTTCCTTATCCTGGATTACAAAGAGCTGTGCTAACTACAAGGAGATCACATAATCCAATGAAAACATCCCTAAACTTTTAGTCATGGTATCTGACCTTCACCCTGCCAGTTATGTAACTTGGGCAGATCATTTATTAACAACAGCTTACCCTAGCTGAGATTTTATGAGTCCACATTCATGGTTTTTAGTTCCAACAACCAATCTCTGAGGGAGGTGCAGGGAACTATCAGAGAGACAGATCTCACATGATTCTGCTCTCTGCTTTCCTCTCTTCCTTCCCATCCACAGACTTCCCTCTCTCCTAAACAGAATAGCAGTCATGTGGGTCAGAAGGCAGAGCATTCAATCACAGGTGAAAGGTGAGAGCTGGAAAACTTGGCTCTCTCAGGCCAGGCCTCTGAGACGCCTCCTCTGGTCTGCATATTCTCCATCCCACTGTGCATTATCTCCACACCCTTGGGTCCCCTGTACTAGCTCTGAGCTCCAGCCCCTAGCTTCTCAGGGACACATTGCTCCTAACAGGTGAGTCTACCTCCTTCTTCAGAAGATGAAGCTAGAGACACCTCTAGCTTAATATATATTAAATATCTATAAAATCTATAATATATCAGTATAGATATTATATACTTTATAATATATTATATATTATATGTATATAATATAGATATTTTTATAGATAATATATATGTATATTAGAGAGAGAAAGAGAGAGAAACCCCTTCATTGATTTCCTACCCCCCTGCCCCACTGGTCAGGCCCTAACCAGTGACTGAACCTGCAGGAATATAAAAGCACAGCACCTTCACTGAGTAAACCAGTTCAACAATGTCAATCAAATCTGCCCTCCAGCTCCTTACAAGATGAAGCCTGTTGCATGCAGCTGGAACTACACCTTCAGTTGGCTTTTTCACCTTGTCTACTTCCTCCCTCCACTGCTGTGCAGGCTTTCCCCCCATAGGCCTTTCCTTAATAAAACACTTATCCTCTTATCTCTTATTCTCCAGATCTACCTCTAGAAACATGACCTGAACTCTCACCCCCACCACGCCCTCTATTGCAGGCCTAGCCTGATTTAAAAAGACTGATCTCACCGAATTTTCTCTCTAAGATGTTTAGCATATCCCTCACAGGCAAGCAGGTTAGGGCAGAGCCAATGCTACACCTATGGTGGCCATCTTAAATCCAAAGATGAGAAGACAGATGCCTCGTGTAAGGTTCCTCGGGTAGGGTCTTCCACCAGGGGCCTTCTCTGTGAAGGTCAGTACTCATTGGTCAGCCATTGATACACCATTGATACTATCCATTTAGCTGTCATTCTCCAACAGCCCTCTCAGCCAGGAAACTAACAGGATGGGTGGGGAATAGATACAGGCGTCTCTGGTTATGAGATCTTCTGACTATCACAGACACCACAAAGATCTTACAACTCTGCTTCAGGCTTTCAGACATCAGAGCCTTCCCTTATCACTTAAAAGCCAGAAGAGACACTGAAGCTTTGTCTCCCAATACTTAGATAAAGGTATTTGTGGTAGCCTTAGGTTACTGTAACATATATCTTGGAGAACTCAATTAATAAAGAGGAAAAGGTTGTCTTGGATCACAGTTTTGGAAATTTCAGCAATTGTTTGGCCTGTCACTTTGAGGCCTAGATAAAACAGCATGTCCCAGTGAGGCCTAGATGAAGCCCACACCTCAGCATCCGAGAAGTGAAGAGAGGGAGAGGAAAGGGTTGTGTCCAACATCTGCTTCAAGTGCATGCTCCCAGTGATCTGATTCCCACTAACTAGGCTCCACTCCTTGAAGTTCTGACAACTCCCAATAGCACCATGATTTAGATACCAAGCCTTTAACACATGGGCCCTTTGGGAAATTTCACATCCAAACTACAGCACCAATGTAGCCAAACCCAGGCGTTTTCCTAAGGTCACACCACTGACAGTAAATCTTTCCTCTAAGTCTCAGTCTGTTGACTTGGAGTGGGGGTGTGTTGAGCACAGAACCAGCCTACAGGCAGAGAAGTGAGGACTAAGGAGTTCAGCACTGTCATTTCAAATCAGGCCTCTGAGCATCTCTGGTTGTCTCCAGACTTACTGGTGGCAATTGATTGGTTTGAATTTCTTGACCTCTCACTCACTTGGGTAAACAATATGAAGTATAAACTGACTTTCACCATGTGAGGAGACCTAATCGATACAGTGAATTATACTTACACCCAGACCTAGCATGGTGTCTGCCACACCTGAATCCATTGGAGTACCACTGCAGTGGAGTCACTGCACCCAAAGCTCATATTGCATACTCAGCTATGACTGCAAAAACTCATTTTACTTATCATGTCACCAAACAATGAAATATGTTAATGAATGTTCATAAATACATGTAAATATAAAGCATACTTTTATATTATCCATGTTACTTACATATGTCTAATTCAATATATATTGAATTTGTGCGTAAAGAACAATTTAGCCAGCAGTAAAATTCAACTATAGGATAGATAGATAGATAGATAGATAGATAGATAGATAGATAGATAGATATTTAAGAAATTGATGAAAAATGCAGAGACAAAGAATGGAGCAGAGACTGAAGAAAAGGCTATCCAGTGACCACCCTACCTAAGGACCCATTCCATCTGCAGACACCAAGAAGTACTTGCTGACAGGAGACTGGTATGGCTGTCCCTTGAGAGGCTCTGCCAGCACTTGACCAATACAGATACAGATGCTCACAGCCAACTGTGGGACTGTGTAAGGGTATCCTGGGTCATGGTTGAGCAGGTGCCTAGAACCCCGAGACTCTGCAGACTCTGCATGGGATTCTGCGTGAGAACCGGCAGGAGTTTGCGCCCCCCAGAATCCAGGATCCTGAAAAGCAGTCCCGGTCTCCATAGAATTACATTGTTCAGTCACATAGGCCAGGCTATAGGCCTCAGGCTCTAGGGATTTACATACTAATGAAGCCCAGAGGACAGAGCAAATTAAGCATGCCTCCCCCAGGTCCTCCCCCCAATCCTCCCCCTTTTCTCCCTCCCTATATAGCTCAGGACTGCCCTGAGTTTTGGGGGGTACACCTAGATCCATCTATTATCCGCCATGACAATAAACCTTTTTGGAACCAAGGACTTCCTCATGTTATTGGGGCCTGCCGCCGCCAAAGCCTCTAGGCCGCTGGAACTATAGGGTTCCTCCCGAATGTGGGACCCGCCACAGTGTGGAAGCCCCTCCAGGGCCCCACCGCTGTGGTGACCTCTAAATTTTCCCCACAGCCAACCATCAGATTGAGCATGGGCACACCAATGGAGCAGTTAGGGGAAGGACTGAAGGAGCTGAAGGGGATTGCAACCCCATAGGAGGAACAAGAATATAAACTAACCAGATCCCCCAGAGCTCCCAGGGACTAAATCACCAACCAAAAGAGTACCCATTGAAGACCCCATGGCTCCAGCTGCATATGTAGCAGAGGATTGACTTAGCAGGCAACAATAGGAGGGGAAGCCCTTCGTCCTGTGGACGCTAGATGCCCCAGCATAAGGGGATAGTAGGACAGTGAAGCTCGAGTGGTTGGGTGAGTGAGGGAGCACCCTCATAGGGACAGAGAGGTAAATGGGGGATGGGATATTGGGTTTGCAGAGGGGAAACTGGGAGGGGGACAATATTTAAAATGTAAATAAATAAAATAACCAATAAAAAGAGAAAGAAAGAAATTGGTGACAGGCTCTCTGCTCCTCTCCATTCTAGAGAGAGCCACATCTTCTTGTGCAGAACCAGTCTTGTCCCTGAGATATGATGGCAAAGGTGCCTAGTTACCAGGATTTCCTTCATGTCTGGCAAAGAAGGTATTGTGCCATCAATGACCCCTTCATTGACCTCAACTACATAGTCTACATGTTCCAGTATGACTCTACCCATGGCAAGTTCAACAGCACAGTCAAGGCTGAGAACAGGAAGCTTGTAATCAATAGGAAAGCCATCACCAACTTCCAGGAGCAAGATCTTGCCAACATCAAAGGGGATGATACTGGTGCCAAGTATGCTGTGGAATATACTAGTGTCTTCACCACCATGGAGAAGGCCAAGGCTCACTTGAAGGGTGGGACCAAAGGGGCTATCACTTCTGTTCCTTCTGCCAATGCCCCCATGTTTGTGATGGGTATGAAATACAACAACTCACTCAAGATTGTCAGCATTGCTTCCTGCACCACCAATTGCTTAGCAACCATGACAACTCAGGCATCATGGAGGATTCATGACCATAGTCCATGCATCACTGCCACCCAGAAGACTGTGCATGGCCCTTCTGGGAAGCAGTGGCATGATGGCGGTGAGGCTGCCCAGAATATCATCACTATATCTACTAGTGCTGCCAAGGCTGTGGGCGAGGTCATCCCAGAGCTGATCAGGAAGCTCACTGACATGGCTTTCCATGTTCCTACCACCAATGTATCCATCGTGGGTCTGACATGCCACCTAGACAAAGCTGCCAAGTATGATGACATCAAGGAGGTGATGAAGCAGGCATCTGAGGGCCCACTTAAGGCCATCTTGGGCTACACTGAGGACCAGGTTTTCTCCTGCGACTTTAACAATGACTCCCATTCTTCTACCTTTGAGGCTGGGGCTGGCATTGCTCTTAATGACAACTTTGTAAAGCTCATTTCCTGGTATGACAATAAATACGGCTACAGCAACAGGGTGGTGGACCTCACGGCTTACATGGCCTCCAAGGAGTAAGCAGCCCTGGACCACCCACCCTAAGCAAGGACACAGGAGAGTAAGAGAGAGGCCCTCGGCTGCTGAGGAGTCCCTGTCCCAAGCTCCCTCACAGTTTCCATCCCAGACCCCTAGAATTACAGGAAGGGCTTAGTGGGGCTTATCATCAATAAAGTTCACTGCATCCAAAAAAAAAAAAAGAGAAAGAAAGAAAAGAAATTGGTTACATAGTAAAATTGTAATGACTCACCTCACAGATACACTTCCATTTCACTTTTACAGGCTTCACTCACCAGCTGTCCCCCACTAGCAGCAGAATAATTGTGGTAGTTTGAATGAGAAATGTCCACAGAGAGCTCCTGTATTTGAACACGTGACTCCCTACTGTCTGGGAAGTTCATGGAGACTTTAAGAGGAAGAGCCGGAAGCTCACTGAAGGCAGGCTTCTCTGTGCTTTCCTG